CCCAGGTCCTATCTCCTACAATAAAACCTCCAACCCCAGGTCCTATCTCCTACAATAAAACCTCCAACCCCAGGTCCTATCTCCTACAATTAAACCTCCAACCCCAGGTCCTATCTCCTACAATACCAACCCTACAGCAAGTTGTATTTCTTTCAATACCACCTCCCACGTCATGTTCTATCTCCTTCAATAACACCTCCTACGTCAGTCACTATCTCCTCCAATACCACCTCCCACGTTAGGCCCTATCTCCTTCAATACCACTTCCTACACCAGACCCTATCTCATTCAATACCACTTCCTACACCAGACCCTATCTCCTACAATACCAGCTCCCACGTGAGGTCCTATCTCCTTCTATACCACCTCCCACGCCAGTCCCTAACTTCTTCAATAATACCTCCTGCGTTATTCCCTTCAATACCACTTCCTACACCAGACCCTATCTCCTTCAATACCACCTTCCATGTCAGGTCATATCTCTTTCAATACCACCTCCTACGTTAGGTCCTATCTCCTACAATACCACCTCCCACGTCAGGTCCTATCTCCTTCAATACCACCTCCCACATCAGGTTCTATCTCCATTAATACCACCTCCCACGCCAGTCCCTATCTTCTTCAATAATACCTCCTGCGTTATTCCATATCTCCTTCAATACCACTCCCTACACCAGACCCTATCTCCTTCAATTCCACCTCTAACGTTAGATCCTATCTCATACAATACCACCTCCCACGTTTACGTTAGGTCACACCTCCTTCAATAACACCTCCCACGTCAGGTCCTATCTCTTTCAATACCACCTCCCACGTTAGTCCATATCTCCTTCAATACCATCTCCCATGTGAGGTCCTATCTCCTTCTACACCACCTCCCACGCCAGTCCCTATCTCCAATAACACCTCTTACGTCATTCCATATCTCCTTCAATACCACTTCCTACACCAGACCCTATCTCCTACAATACCACCTCCCACGTTAGTCCATATCTCCTTCAATACCATCTCCCACGTGAGGTCCTATCTCCTTCTATACCACCTCCCACGCCAGTCCCTATCTTCAATAACACCTCCTACGTAATTCCATATCTCCTTCAATACCACTTCCTACACCAGACCCTATCTCCTACAATACCATCTCCTACGTTAGGTCCTATCTCCTACAATACCACTTCCTACACCAGACCCTATCTCCTACAATACCATCTCCTACGTTAGGTCCTATCTCTTTCAATACCACCTTCCACACAAGGTCCTATCTGCATAATACTTTTTTTGTAATTTCACAGTTGCACAAAATACAACAAATTATAAGTGTAATCTTTGATATTATAAGTTGATAGATATTTGTGATTGTGTTGTTCTTTTTGAGATGATATTGGAGTTGTGACAGGAATTATATAGAAGTACTCTGACTACGACACCGACATTGTGATAAGTAATACCAAGCTGCAGTTGATTATATCCTCCTACTTACACCATTGCTTTGTGTATCGTACATTTTTGTGTTCATACTAATCATCGTAGTACCTGTATAAATAACGTATGGTTGTCTTTATACACAGACTGGGGTATAATATTTGTCAGGTGGTAGTGTACAATTAGGTTAATAATAACCTCTTCAAATACCACAATGTTCGGACTTTCGTGGTCCCACAGTTCTTGTAGATACTGTATTACATGTGTGTGATACTCACTTTCTCATACTTTCTTGACTGCTTTATCTATATGATCGATGTTTTGCAAACGGTAAATATATAATTTAATGCTCAGTTTGTCGCATGTAATTATCACAATGCTATTTGGACTAACGAGATTTCAGTACAGTTGATGTAATGGGCACTTTTTCATATACATATTCAGACCAATGGATTTTCACAGTATATGTAATTCTCACGTTCTCATCAATACGTCTAACTATTGAGTACTCCGTCCAGACCGGCGGATTTCCACACTATGTACATATTTCTCACCTTCTCACATATAAATCTAATTCGTTCCCTGCTCGGATGATCTCCATCTTGGCTTGGTCGTGACGTAAATACTGTGTGGGTGTGTGTCCAATCTGTTCCAGACCGTCCCCCGCCCTCAGTCCACTCCGGTCAGCTATGCCCTTTGGCTTTACCTGTAAATGGGAAGTGAAATACTTAATATACTTTAACAAATGCTGCTACTATAACTAAGGGATCGCATGCACTTCTCTGGAAATGAGGCATATCTACAGTACCCGTTAAACCTCTGTAATCCGGTCTCCTGTCAATCCGGCAATTGTGATCATCGGATACTTTGATGGAGATCAAATACTAACGACTAAGTGTTACATGCATATGTATATCTCTATTGTTAATAAGATAGCTCCTCAATTGATAAAGATATATCAGATATCTAGTAAATTAACAGAGCTATCTCAATTAGTTTATGAAATGTATCCATAAATTAAGAGAAATGTCTCTTTAAAGTATTAATCGTTAAGTTAGCTCGCGATAGCTATTCCTTAAAACCACCCAGTCCGTTACCCCTTGAAACCATGCGTCCATTACCCCTTCAAACCATCCAATAAGTTAACATTCTAAACCATCTAAAATTATCCGTCAATTACCCCTTAAACCATCTATAAACATCCGTCCATTACCCCTTAAAACCATTAACCACCCTTCAACTGTCCCGTCAATTGCCCCTTCAAACCGTCCAGTCAATAATCATTTAAACCACCTGTTTCTTATGTAAATAGGACATGGCCGTTATTTTGTAGTGAACTGGGTTGAACACATGAGATTTTTAGTCAGGTATATTTGTCTGATCACGATAACTCATTCCACTGGTGTTCGCCAAGCAGTCTAATTTTAACCTGTTATCCAAATATCTGTTTTAAATGAGTCAAACTATCATACATACTTGATCGTAGCTTAGATAATCTACATGGTAACCGGTGCTTAGGATCAAATGCAAGCTCGAAGCTTTAATTTTTAGGAACTAAAAAGGTCTATAATCACGCCCACACTGACATATTAAATACATGGTTTTCATCCACTGAAACGTGCAGGTTACGACCCGTGTTTTAATATAGCACACATCAGTATTTGACGCTCTGATAGCATGTAGCTTATTGGGGAATGCGATAGTAATGCCCTGCTCCATTTGCACGAACGTTTCTTATTTTATGGAAATTCATGAACTTAAGATGCACAGAGGGAAATGCTAGTGTGGTTGACATAACGAGCAAAGTATGTCCCCGATGACGTCATTTCTCTACAGACTACATTTCTTAAATCCGTTTGTCATGGAATTATCTATGTGTAATTCACAAACGCCATACCCATATTGTCCGGCTTCACGTGTCGGCCTTTTGGGGTAAGCAAACAACGCCACCGTTACTGTCAATGCAAATTTTGGCATCTACATCCCAACATTACCTCTACTAGTTTCGACCTTCTGGAATCAAAACAAGGAAACCGTTACTATAAACAGAAGTTTGGAGTCATCTCCCTACAGACTAAACATGTGTTCACACCCTGTACATGAGTCCTAGTTTCGACTTTCAGTAGTGAAAGACATGTTCAGCCGTTTGTTGACGCTTTGTTTTGCATATTCCATTCCCTATCATATTGTTATGAACTTCACAAAAACGTTACCTCTTGAGCGAGTTTGCGTTTCAACTTTCCTGAGTATTTTACGTCGTCAACCCAAAGTCGCACTATAGACTTGTCTGCATTGACTTGTTCTTCATTAGCAATGTCAAAATATGAAGGCGTTACATTAAAAATGTTTATAAACAGAGGCCAATGCTCATCAAGGGGTTTGATAATTACCTAACACGTTTAAATGACACCATGGATTTCTATATTACTTCTATCTTTGATATAGCGTAACATTGAAAGTAAAAACGATTCTAGTAAATAACGAACAAATTGGAACTCTTCATCGTTGGAGATACAGCACAGAGAGATGGGACTTCCTCCCTAATGGGGTGTATAGCCAGGGCGTGTCGGTAAAGATCTATGGCTGCATGACCGAAAAAACCCAGTATGTATGTAAAATAAATTGTTATAGATCACGGCTTCACTCTATTCACCGTGTAAAATATATTATTTGTGAACACATATGTGAAGTATTAATTCTACTCTTAATGCCGTATGTTACAGATAGTCAAGGAAATGCGCAACAGCGAACAGTGTACGTTTCTTCGCAGTCGCCTTGACCTTGCACCCGACATGCACACAAGATGATGTTTAAGCCATGGCGGATAAAACTTTCGGTTCGGGTTTGTTGTGTATCATTGTGACACAGGCAACACACCAGGCCAAAATATAGACAGAGAGATATATCAAGTAACGATACACAGCTCTGCCACTGTGGAACCCTATCACACTGCATGCTGCTTTACATAACGCTGTTTTGCATGTAGCGTTTGCGCGGCAGGTCCCTCCGTTATAAGTATATATAAAGGTCGTATTGTAGTGCGGAGAATATAAATATGAACCGACATGCGCATTAAAGTAAAGCACGTACATGTTGTGTGTATATGTCACACTAGCGTTATATATATACATTGACACATGACGACACGAATCTATCGGGTAGGCTTTTGATCGGTGGCGAATCCAATGTGGGCGCGACGTAAGCTTATATTTCTACAAGACACCTCCTGTAAAAAAATATCTTAACATTAGTTAAACAAAGTTGAAACTATTTTTCGTCTTCACCTCCCACTCCACTCTTGCATGGTAGAAGATTAATAAAAATATTTCAGTAAACCAAGTCTGCTTTGGTCGATTCGATTTTTAGGATCACAGAGACGCTGTGTTGTTCTCTTCAAATGTACACAAAAATACAGCACAACCCGCCTTTCTGTACGGTGGCTTTAATATGACATTTCGTCTTTTCGCTTTGTCGCCCGCGAAATAACGCCAAGCGAAAAAACGAAATAGCAAAAAGACGAAAACCTGCCAAAGCGAAATAACGCCAAACCGAAGTGAAAATAACGCCAAAGCGTAGAAATAAAAGGACATTTTTTCTCCCTCTTTTTGGCGTTATTTTGTTATTTAGCTTTGGCGCTTTTTCGTCATATAAACCACCATATTTCTGGGCGAAATGGGTAAACAAGGTTCTCAAATACCACCATGTCATAACCACAAGACCATCAGACTTTTATAAACACATGTATTTATCTCTTCAAATTGAGCCGTTATAGTTTAACCCGGGATATTGGCCTTTCGTTCAGAATACCTCTGCACCACAGCCCGGTTTTAATGGAAAACGAGTGTCAAAACTGACATTTGTCGGGAAATCATTTATAGCATTTATCGGACCCTATAGCAGCTTCTATTCAGAGTGGTATCTACAATATATTGGGGAGATTTAGTTTTGATACAGTAACTGTAAACAACAGATTTGTTTTCACGAAACAAGTTTGTTTGCAGATTGTTGTTCATAGAATACCTACGTATATTATGTTGTTTAAATTAGATTTTAAGTATACTGTACCTAGGTATATTACTTTGTTTAAATTTGTTTTTAAGTAACATCTAGTTTTAGTTTTTTGTCTAAATAAGATTTGTATATGCTTCAGTATATGCTACAGTAAATTTAATTGTTCTCCTCGTCACTTAAAATCCTCATGGATAAGCCATCAAAAAATGAAAATGGGCAATTTTTGGATTTGCATAATCTTGCTGTGAAGGGTTTGTTTCCCATACAGTGACTTATACAATAGGCAGATACGTTGGAGTTTGAAATGACATTGAATTGACCTTGTGTTTACCATGAAGACATTCTATTGGAAGTTTCTCAATCCTACCAGCACGCTTTTAACGCCTTGTGTCTTATGCCCATGTACAATACACTTTACACGAGATGATTGCACCAAGCTAGGACTTGGAGGGGTTGTGTCATTCATCATAAATACCGACTTTAATGCTTATTGCAGAGAAATATTTACGTTTTCTGGAAAATTCTTCTGGAACAATTAAGTTTTGGCTACGCGGCTATGTACGTTTGGTTTGTCCTCATCAACAGCCGCGTTCTCTATATAACGTGCGTAAATACGGCTGGTCTATTACAATGTACATTGTTCGTTTTGAGATTAAGAAAACAGCAACATTTTCCCGATGTAGGTACATGTTATTAAGGTAAACAGACACGTTACACACAGCTAATTATCGTGGCCTAAGCTCTTCTGTCTGGCACTGACTGCAATTTTAAAGTTAGAAATCAGAAGTTTACTCCTACCGGCGTACTCGGCACTATGCCATACCGGCGGAGATGAACCAACGACCTCTGTAACATTGAGATGCCAGCCGATACGGTTTTTACGCCTCCGTAAGAATATCTCGCCGTAAAATTATTATCGGAGAAATTCGAATTAGTAGTTTCTTTTAAGACATTGCTGTATAAACTTTTACTAGCATTGTATGTCGACACCTTGTCTATATACAAATTATTTACGGATGAAGTGCCAGACTTCCTGGTTACTCCTCGCTCATCAGGAATTGTGTAGTATCATCAGATATCGTGTAGTGATCATCAGGAATTGTGGAGTATCATCAGATATTGTGTAGTATCATCCGATATTGTGTAGTGATCATCAGGAATTGTGTAGTATCATCCGATATTATGTAGTATCATCAGATATTGTGTAGTGATCATCAGGAATTGTGTAGTATCATCAGAAATTGTGTAGTGATCATCAGGAATTGTGTAGTGATCATCAGATATTGTGTAGTGATCATCAGGAATTGTGTAGTGATCATCAGGAATTGTGTAGTGATCATCAGATATTATGTAGTGATCATCATGAATTGTGTAGTATCATCAAATATTGTGTAGTGATAATCAGATTTTGTGTAGTGATCATCAGAAATTGAGTAGAGATTATCAGCTATTGCGTAATAATTTCAGACATTATGTAATAAAATTAAGAAAATGCGTTTTGTGAACATAAAAAATACGACCAACGCACAAGAAAACGACCGTTTCAAAGCCAGCCTCCTCTTTACTCAAAAGAAGTATCTGTACAAAACCAACATTTCATGTATATTGATATATAATACATTATATTTCTTCTTAACGTTACATCAGTGTACTATCAAGGTGAGCTGTAGACACTTTGATGAAGTAAATCTAGCCGATTATTAACGGACAGTGTACTCACACACAGTCTGGTGTAATCTTAAGTGAGGTGCGTATGCACGAGATTTGATTGATGCATTGTGTAAACGTCGAATTCAATGCTTTGCTGGTGTACGTTGATCACGTGATACCTATTATGCATGTCTACACTTGTTTACATCGTAATATGAAATAATAACACTAATTTATTGCAGGCGAAAGATGGAACCTCTATTGGTACACTGTGTATTGTGTTTGTTCTACATGACATTAAAAACTACGTATGCGTTTAGGTTTCAGTTTTACTAGAGGGTATCGAAGAATGCAATCGTTAACACTCTCTTATATTTTTGTAAATCGACATTAAAAATACATATATTTGATGCCAAATTCACATTTGTTCTCTACATGTAATTCTATACGAATTCCTATAATTGTCAATATCTGACGAGTAAACACGATCAAGCGGCCTGTCAATAACTAGACCGGAACAACGCTCTCTTCGTGTTGGAGATAAGCCCACACAACTTCCGGTGGCGCGGGAGATGCGATCTGGTGCTAATGAGAGTACCAGCTGATTAGAACCGATGGCCGAGGAAACATGGGTGTTGTAGTTAATTTATGGCGACACTACAGAGATAGCCTGGTTTTGTCAAGTCCGATATCTATACGCGGTGGTGCCATTCCGTTGCTATCTCATCCCGTTGTTTCTCGATTTCTTAGTTAACATACTCCCCACTCTTTCCCGAAACGTCTATCAACCATCAGCTGCTCAGCTGCCAGGACTCCGACTCAATCTAACCGCAGTTCCTTACTAACCTACGCTTTTGGATTGCTCTGTGGTAAATTTGCACTTAAATGTTCTGGAATAAGCCGTTATAATACTGCACTGTTTCTTGCAAATGTCCCTTTACTCTTTATCGAGTCCGTTTCACGATTGATTATGTATCGATATTTCGTTTCGTATCGATTGCCCCATTGCTTATTACCAACGCTTTTATATCAATTGCCCCATTTATCCCTACAAACGCTCCTTCATAAATTGCCCCATTTCACCTTACCAACGGTCTTGTATCAATTTCTCCATTGCTCCTTTAAAATGCCCTTGTATCAGTTGCACCATGGCATCTTTCAAACGTTTTCGTATCAATTGCCCCAATGTTCATTACCAACGCTCTTGTATCAATTGCTCGATTACTCCTGACCAACGTTCTTGTATCAACTGCCCCATTGTTCATTACCAACGCTCTTGTATCAATTGCCCCATTGCTGCTTTAAAACGCTCTTGTATCAATTTCCCCATTGCTACTTTAAAACGATCTTGTATCAATTGCCCCATTATTCATTACCAACGCTCTTGTATGAATTGCCCCATTGTTCATTAACAACGCTCTTGTATCAATTACCCCATTAATGGGGTAATTGATACAAGAGCGTTGATAATGTACAATGGGGCAATTGATACTAGAGCGTTGGGAATGAACAATGGGGCAATTGCCCCATTGTTCATTACCAACGCTCTTGTATCAATTACCCCATTATTCATTACCAACGCTCTTGTATCAATTGCCCCATTGTTTATTACCAACGCTCTTGTATCAATTGCCCCATTGTTCATTAACAACGCTCTTGTATCAATTGCCCCATTGCTACTTTAAAACGTTTTTGTGTCAATTACCCCATTGTTCATTACCAACGCTCTTGTATCAATTGCACCATTGTTCATTATCAACGCTCTTGTATCAATTGCCCCATTGTTCATTATCAACGCTCTTGTATCAATTGCCCCATTGTTCATTATCAACGCTCTTGTATCAATTGCCCCATTTTTCATTACCAACGCTCTTGTATCAATTGACCCATTGTTCATTTCACACGCTCTTGTATCAATTGCCCCATTGTTCATTACCAACGCTCTTGTATCAATTGCCCAATTGTTCATTACCAACGCTCTAGTATCAATTGCCCCATTGCTACTTTAAAACGCTCTTGTATCAATTGCCCCATTGTTCATTACCAACCATCTTGTATCAATTGCCCCATTGTTCATTTCCAGCAGTCTCGTAACAATTGCCCCATTGCTCATCATCAAATATATATAAACTAGTTAATTTATTTCTATACATATGTATGTCACGTCTGTTTTTAAAAACAACTTACCAGACTTGAGTAACAATTTTAATCATACACCACCAGCTTAAGCTTTGTCCTCCGCTCCTATTCTCCTATTTTTTGCTCGTCATTATCAAACATATAACTTGCTTACTCCTTTTGAAATTTGACGTCGTCTGTTTGGTATGGAGTAGAGCGCGGGTGTAATAGAAACTCGGTGAGCCTTTATTTAGGATTGCCGTTTTGTATACACAGGTCATCCCGTTATTCTTATGTATGTCAGTATAGCCCCAAGTACTGTCACTTTATGTTAATTATACATGATTTATTACACCGTTTTTCCATCAGCACATTTTAATAGCTTTTTTATTTAAAAAAAAGAAAACATCAAAATAAATCGAAATGACTTTCTTTGTTGGTTGTTTGCTGTGTACTAATTTGCATGTATACATATGTAATATGTCATCAGAATTTCTAAACGTCTCTAGACATAATGTCTTTCCGTCAATTAAACTACGACATTCCAGAGCACATTTCAGGCACATACAATGTAATTTGAACACGTGTAAAAGTTTAATCAAGACTGACACGAAAACTTTTTCAGGGGGTACACTTGTCTGATGTTTTAAGTCCCATATTCACTTTCATACCCTATCGAGGTTGTAAATATATTTTGAATTCCAAACGCCCCAGAGCGATCTCTCGGGTCAGGATGAGCTCCAGAGGTCAAGAAAGGCTCCAGGGGTCAAGATGGTTAGCGAAACACATACCATGGGCTATCAGAGACATTCAGCTACGTGGTCATCTTATCCAAAGGACAATGGCCATGTCTAAGTACATGGTTAAATAGCCTATACAAATGGATGTGCATCTAATCGTCAGATATTTAATGTCCTTTGTCGTAGGTACTGCGATAGCCATAGAGGGGATAAAAGTAAGGATATGGAAGAGATAGTTGAAATCGGCCGAGGTTTAACAGTAGTGACTTCAATGATATTTACTGTGATAAGTAAATGTGTATATTTACTTTAGTATTTATCTACTATATATTTGTACAAACATCTGAAAGTCGCTGTAATCAACTCTGAAATTGAAGCTGCATACCTGTGCTGTCAGATGGAATGTTAGGGACACATGATAGCATAAACGTTCACATTTGTAAACGTTAAAAGGGGACAGTGTCCCCGGACTGTGAAGCTCCTTTAAGATAAAAACGTTACCCCGAAGGTATAGATCTATAGGTACATTGTGAAGTGTATGTACACACCCTCCCACATGTCAGAACTAGGTAGGCATTATTATATACAGAGCTACAGGGGGAGTACAGGGATAGCCGCAATACTGATCACCGTGGTCACTTCAAAGTGGTTCAACTACTACACTCACTTTACTTTGCTACTTATCAGAGATAATGTAAATACCTATACACGGCCCTAATGACTGAACGCCAGCTCTATTCTCCACTTAACTTTCTATTCCCCCTTGGTCACCCTCCGCCAAATTTGGCACCAGGGAATCTGATAGGATATAGCTGCTGTAAGTTAAGTGTTATCCCATACGGAGGCTCCCTACGGGGCACCAAATTCAAAATAAGAAATTGATTTTAATAAAACAATTCTGCTAAATTAATTTTCATCCATAATCTCTAGCGCTAGAAATGTTTATATCGATGAATTAGAATAGTGGAATTTCAAACTAGAAGAAGATTTGGAAACTAACCAGCCCCGTATTGGGCCACTGTTATGAAGAAGATGGTAGAGACAAGGACACATGTTGATGGGTAGCCTCAGGGAAAACATCGTTTTTTTTTAGTGTGGTGGAATATGCTAACGCTGTTTAGAAAACTGCAGACAGACTGAGTCGGTCAATGAGAACCGAGCACACATGTTCGTGTTATAAAAAGGAGCCGAAATATCAGTAAAAATATCACACGTTACCCTCCTGCTTTAATAACTTTCCTCGATAATGGGTACGCTTGTTAAAGTTTAAATTAAAGCGATTTTAATCTTCGCTATACTACTGAAAGGTTTTCTATATTTACCCCCAGATATTAACCTGTAACACATGACCTGGGTTTACACGAACGAAAGGGGATCGCTTTCAACCTCGTAGTTTGTTAACAGTTTGTTTTTAGTTCACAAACAATGCGTTTTGTTCCAGCGTGTACCGTTTTTTGTAAGATATGTCCTAGTTTTCTTAATAGCTTTACTTCCTACAAAATGTGTACTTTATCTACAATCCTTTACATTCATATAGTCAGTGACTTTGCAAAACCTGGGTTTGAGGCAATCTTGATAGACCTTTGCTTTGATATCAGCACCGGTAAAAGGGGTTCACATATTTTACGTGTTAAAATATATAAACTAAAATGACTTCAGAAAATATTATGAATTTGAAATCAGAAACATTTGTGTATACACCACATACAATCAAATGAGAGTATTATTTTTATGTTTACTTCAAGTGTCGTAAAATGTTCAAATGTAACCATGCGATACACTTTTACTGACATGAAAGTAATTTGTTGTCGTAACGTCACTGTCACTTTCAGCATTTTAGTTAGCACTTCAATGATATGGCACGTTGTATGCACACAGGTAATACGTACCTTTTGGATGAACACACACGTACCGTGCTCCTGTCCGCCCTGGATGCTGAATCCCCAAGATGTAGCCGATACATTTCTTCTCAATTGTACCAAAACATTATCGGTCATGTTGTAATTTTTGTCAAACTTTTGACAGTCGGTAATGATAAAGTACAATGCTCCCGACAGGACGCTATATGTGGGTCACAGAAGATTTATATATATATACTAGTTTCTCTTCTCAGTGCGACTTAATGCCCGGATGTGACGTTTGGTACACGTGTGTACGGTACTCCTCCCCCTCTTAAACCTCTAACCCCGCTTTACCTAGAATCCTCGCTCTCATTAACGCGGATAACGCGAGTGGAAGGTCGTGTCTTAGCTCACGTACAGATACATACACTTGAGGAAGTAATTTTGATTTAGCATTTTACCACAAAATCAATGGAAACACACCTTCCTTCATACAGATGAAGTTGTGATAGGGTTTTTAAGTGAAACTCAAGGCAACAAGATCGTCATTGTCATATATGTATATACACCTCTACCTGGTTATAGTAATTATACATTGCACTTCAAATGGAATTTTATTTATATTTAGGGGTTCCTTTATTTCATTACATCATCATTACGTTGGCAATGCATTGGACCCGGCGATATTTAACCAACTATTCCCTGTATTTAGTTAAAGGAATTGTCACCAGCATATCAAGGAAGGCTTTCGGGAAACTAAGGTTCATGATACAGACAAGGATTCGCCATGCATGCATTGTTATTATAGTGTTTTACCTCTAACAGAGAATTTTTAAGACACATTACAAAATATTGGGAAAAGTGTCTACCTAACGGATCACACTGTTGTGGGTTTAGTGGTACGCGCGCTCACTATATAAAGAGATGGACCAGGGATGTAGCCATCCTCGATATCCAGGGGTTAGCTCACTTTCGCCCTCTACACCCCTGGAAAACGGTAAAAATTGACAGGCTTTGAAGTCGGGCATTGCTCCTTTGTAATCTTCAAAGGACAAGTATCAGCCTATAGTGATTGGTCAGGTGTGTTTTTTACCTGACACCAATCAAATAGCTGGCCGCGTGCCTTCAATTTTGCTATGACATATTCCAGGGGTGTAGAGAGCGAAAGTGAGCGTTACCCCTGGATATCGAGGATGGGATGCAGCATAAGAGCTATCACTATTGAACCCAGTGACCTCTTTAAATCAGGACAGCAGCAACCTGATGAGTGACCTCAGCATTGTGATGTCCCCACTTGACCGGTGAGCATGACCTAATGTCCCTGGACTTTGGGGGAAAGCCATCCTTTGTGATTCATATCCGTAATACTGTATATATATGTACATATCACTCACACAAACACTTGGAAATGAACTTTTACCTTCCGTCTTTGTATGACCTGACCAATGACGTCATGTACCACTTATAACGATTACATGGTATATTATAATAAAATGAGTTGGTCATCGAGAAAACATGTAACCAATCAGACAAATATATAATTGCCTTGTTTTCATCGATGAAATATTTCCTTCTGTGTCACATGCCATTACAAACGATACAGAATGTTTCAGTTTCTGTGAAATCCGCTTACCTAAACAAACCTATGACTACTTATCCACCTTGCCCATACTTTTTTCATGTTATATCGTGAAGGATTGGACAAGACAATAAATAGTTATGTCGATGTATAGACCGAAAACCGAAGTGCACTCTTTATATAAATAGCTCTCTACGCGGCTTATGTAAAGAGTGCACTTCGTTTACGGTTTTAACGTCGATAGAACAATTTATTATCTAGCCCAACCCTAAATAACCTTAAAAAAGACAACACAAAAAGCGATGAGGTCGCATACCACAATGTTTGGTATTTGTAATTCTAACTTCTCATTCGATGAAGTTGGTCGGCGATAAAATTACAGCGCAATGTTGCGTTTTGTGCAAAATTCTTTTCTTTTATCAGAAATGAATAAATAGTTATTAACTTTGAACTAGAACTGTCTGTTTAAATTCAATTATAATGAATAGCCATGATTATTTTGGGATTATAGGCTTATACCGAAAACCGCACTTTTGTGCATAGACCGCTTACTGAATTTTTCTTAAATATATATAATACGATGATCTATATAAAGTCATTAACTATATATTCGAAAAAGAATTCAAATATGTAATATAATGCCTTTCTTACTGTAATAAATGAAAAAAGCTCAATAAAGCGCGAACAATCCCAGATATGGGGCATTATCATTGTGTTTGATGCTCTTCACAATCTTGATGGGTTGTAAGTAGTGCCAGAATCATGATATTTCTTTACATGAATAAAGTATGAGTCTACTTCCAAAAAAAATGTTCCCGGTTTTTCCATAACCTCGATCTGTACAATCTTTCGGTTCAGGACGATTTTTAAAAAACCTTTTACCATACCGGAAACCATTCAGAAACTTCCGTCATAATTTAGATAGTATGACAGAAAGACCCGAACAGTTTAAACTGGAAAATATTTATTTGTGATAGTTCTTTTTGTTTTTGGTTTGTAACAATATTATGTTTTGTTAAATTTAACAAAGAACTATACCACGGTAAAAAAAAAAAGAGAAATTATTATTAATGAAATGAAATATTCTATAAGATTATGTATCACAGTAATCACAGGTACATGTACTAGTCATAAATAATACAAAACAGTAGAGAAGAATGGCTATAGCAAAGCGTTGTATATGTTTATCATATATTATAGACCTATGTATCGAAGGAAAATATCTTTACCAGTACATGATTTTTATGTGATCGTAATAACAATGATACATTCTGTAAAATTGTATACTACAATTAAAACAGTGACACTTTATATCACATCATATATAACCATTAAAACAGTGACACACTCTATAACATTATATATAACCATTAAAACAGTGACACTTTATATCACATAATATATAACCATTAAAACAGTGACACTTTATATCACATCATATATAACCCTTAAAACAGTGACACTTTATATCACATCATACATAATCCTTAAAACAGTGACACATTCTATAACATTCTATATAACTATTAAAACAGTGTCACATTCTATAACATTATATATTAAAAATAAAGCAGTGAAACTTTATATCACATCAGATATAACCATTAAAGCAGTGACACTTTATATCGCATCATATATAACCCTTAAAACAGTGACACATTCTATAAAATTATATATAACTATTAAAACAGTGACACACTATATAACATTATATATAGCCATTAAAACAGTGACCCATTCTATAACATTATATATACCTATTAAAACAGTGACACATTCTATAACATTCTATATAACTATTAAAACAGTGTCACATTCTATAACATTATATATTACAAATAAAGCAGTGAAACTTTATATCACATCATACATAACCCTTAAAACAGTGACACTTTATGTCACATAATATATAACCATTAAATCAGTGACACTTTATACCACTTCATATATAACCTTTAAAACAGTGACACGCTCTATAACATTATATTTATATTACCACTAAAACAGTGACACTTTTTATCACATCATATATATCCATTAAAACAGTGAAACATTCTATAATATTATATATAACTATTAAAACAGGGACACTTTATACTACTTCATATATAACCTTTAAAACAGTGACACATTCTATAACATTATATCTTACAAATAAAGCAGTGAAACTTTATATCACATCAGATATAACCATTAAAACAGGGACACTTTATACTACTTCATATATAACCTTTAAAACAGTGACACTTTATACCACATCAAATATAACCAATAAAACAGTGACTCTTTATATCACATAATATATACCCATTAAAACAGTGACCCATTCTATAACATTATATTTATATTACCACTAAAACAGTGACACATTCTGTAACATTATATTTAACCATTAAAACAGTTACACATTCTATAACATTATATATTAAAAATAAAGCAGTGAAACTTTATATCACATCATATTTAACCCTTAAAACAGTGACACGCTCTATAGCATTATATATAACCATTGAAACAGTGACACTTTATGTCACATAATATATAACCTTTAAAACAGTGACACACTCTGTAACAATATATATAACCATTAAAACTGTGACACACTCTGTAACAATATATATAACCATTAAAACTGTGACACACTCTGTAACAATATATATAACCATTAAATCAGTGACACACTCTATAACAATATATATACCCATTAAAACAGTGCCACATTCTATAACATTCTATATAACTATTAAAACAGTGACACATTCTATAACATTATATATTACAAATAAAGCAGTGAAACTTTATATCACATCATATATAACCAATAAAACAGTGACACTTTATATCACATCATATATAACCATTAAAACAGTGACACGCTCTATAACATTATATATAACCATTAAAGCAGTGACACTTTATATCACATTATATATAACCATTAAAACAGTGACACTTTATATCACATCATATATAACCATTAAAACTGTGACACACTCTGTAACATTATATTTAACCATTAAAACAGTGACACACTCTGTAACAATATATATAACCATTAAGACAGTGACACACTCTTTAACATAATATATAACCATTAAAACAGTGACACACTCTTTAACATTATATATAACCATTAAAACAGTGACACATTCTATAACATTATCATTATATTACCACTAAAACAGTGACACTTTATATCACATCATATATAACCATTAAAACAGTGACAAATTATGCAACATTATATTTATATTACCACTAAAACACGTTCTATAAGATTATGTATTATCATTATGTACAATCACACTCTAAATGATAATATCTTATCATTATACAGTGGACTAATGACAAATTCTATGAGATTTTCATATTATCATTATAATAATGATACACTATAAGATTATACATTATCATTAAAGCAATGAAACATTCTATAAAATTATATCCTATCTTTATAACAGTGGCAAATTCCGGAAGAATACATCTTATCATTGTTACAGTGACACACTCTATAATATTATATTATCATTATAACAATAACACAAGCTATCAGATTATATATTAACATTACAGCATTGACACATTCTTTAAAATCCATATATTATCATAATAATAATCACATATTATATGTGATTATATATTACCATTTTAATAATGACATTTTCTATGAGATTATATATTATCATTATAACAACGACACACTCTACAGAATTATATTTTATCATTATAACAACGACACAATCTGTGAAATTAAATTTTATCTTTATAACAGTGACGCATTCCAGAATATAATATCATTATAACAATGCCACTCTTTATGAGATTATGTATTACAGTGACACATTCCAGAAAATTATATCATTACGAGATATTCTTTATTATTATATAATATTATGATAATCAATTTATTAAAATTATAATGACTCATTATTTAAGCGTATATAACACAAGTTGTCTATAAATCACACAATGAGAAACCCTTTAAACCTAAATTCCTATATGACTGATTATCCATGGCCGGTATGCTAAGATACCGAGACCAACTAAACCCTACTTGATATTATTTAACATTATTTCCGAGAATTCGCAACAACAATTGACACTGAACATGAAGTGGTTACTAAGAACTCAGTACCATTGATTGTCGTCAACCCATCGACGACTTACGTCTGGATCACTGTTATCAAGCTGAAAGTGAGTAGAAAATTATAAAGACGATGTCACATGGACATCACTGTCGTATGTAATGTATCGACCCGAGTGTCCAATTTAATCCTAAGCTGGAATCCGTATCTATATAAAAGTATTGTGGATATAGGATGTAACATAGACACGACTTATCAACATTATTAACTATCCAAGACAACTCTCATTTAAGGCTCATTCTTTCATCAAAGCTACACAGTAAAGCATAGATCGTTTAATATTTTTACTGATGACGTTACGTCATGTTTAAATGATTGAAGCATAAATGCTGGATTTAAATGTTGATTAGATCATGCGAAATGACAGATAGAATACTAAATTTACTTTAAAAAAAAAGACAAATCTTTACCGTTCCAATAAAATATCTTACACAGAAAGAGCTTTCAAGTTTATAAGATATCTTACATTGAGGTATCTTAAATATTATCTACATGCAACATACATGTATTTTATAAGATGAGATGTCTAATATTTTTAAGAAGATAATAAGATCTCCTGATATCTTTTATGACATAGAAGATATCCGGGGATAGTCATGGAAGGTTGGGGCAACTACATGTACTGTAGCCAACGTACGTGTAATGTAGCCACCACCGTACATGTACTGTAGCCACCGTTCATGTACAGTAGCCACCACCGTACATGTACTGTAGCCACCCCCGTACACGTACTGTAGCCACCACCGTACATGTACAGCAGCCACCACCGTACATGTACTGTAGCCACTACCGTACATGTACGGTAGCCACCACCGTACATTTACTGTAGCCATCCCCGTTCATGTACTGTAGCCACCATCGTACATGTACGGTAGCCAGCACCGTTCATGTACTGTAGCCACCATCGTACATGTACGGTAGCCATCACCGTACATGTACTGTAGCCACCGTTCATGTACAGTAGCCACCACCGTACATGGACTGTAGTCACCACCGTACATGTACTGTAGCCACCACTGTACATGTACTGTAGCCACCACCGTACATGTACGGTGAACACCACCGTACATGTACAGTAGCCACCACCGTATCTGTACTGTAGCCACCGTACATGTACAGTAGCCCCCACCGTACATGTACTGTAGCCACCGTACATGCACAGTAGCCACCGTACATGCACAGTAGCCACCGTACATGCACAGTAGCCACCGTACATGCACAGTAGCCACCGTACATGCACAGTAGCCACCGTACATGCACAGTAGCCACCGTACATGCACAGTAGCCACCGTACATGCACAGTAGCCACCGTACATGCACAGTAGCCACCACCGTACATGTACTGTCGCCACCACCGTACATGTACTGTAGCCACCCCCGTACACGTACTGTAGCCACCACCGTACATGTACAGCAGCCACCACCGTACATGTACTGTAGCCACTGTTCATGTACAGTAGCCACCACCGTACATGGACTGTAGTCACCACCGTACATGTACTGTAGCCACCACCTTACATGTACAGTAGCCACCACCGTACATGTGCTGTAGCCACCGTACATGTACAGTTGCCACCACCGTACATGTACTGTAGCCACCTCCGTACATGTACAGTAGCCACCACCGTACATGTTCTGTAACCACCATCGTACATGTACTGTAGCCATCACCTTACATGTACTGTAGCCACCATCGTACATGTACTGAAGCCACCGTACATGTACTGTAGCCACCACCGCACATGTACTGTAGCCACCACCGTACATGTACGGTGAACACCACCGTACATGTACAGTAGCCACCACCGTACATGGACTGTAGTCACCACCGTACATGTACTGTACCCACCACCGTACATGTACAGTAGCCACCAACGTACATGTACTGTAGTCACCACCGTACATGAACTGTAGCCACCACCGTACATGTACAGTAGCAACCACCGTACATGTACTGTAGCCACCACCTTACATGTACAGTAGCCACCACCGTACATGTACGGTAGACAACACCGTACATGTACAGTAGCCACCCCCGTACATGTACTGTAACCACCATCGTACATGTACTGTAGCCATCACCTTACATGTACTGTAGCCACCATCGTACATTAACTGTAGCCATCACCGTACATGTACTGTAGACACCACCGTACATGTACTGTAGCCACCACTGTACATGTACAGTAGCCACCACTGTACATGTACTGTAGTCACTACCGTACATGTACTGTGGCCACCACCGTACATGTACGGTAGCCACCACCATACATGTACAGTAGCCACCACCGTACATGGACTGTAGTCACCACCGTACATGTACTGTAGCCACCACCGTACATGTACTGTACACCGTACATGCGCGTCTTCACTTGTAATGCATCATATCAAAAAAGACTACCTGATCAAACAATCATTTGCACGAGACAGGAGCCACTAGTTAGTTTTTCGCTAACGCCACATACAGTACCTACGCTGTACATGTTATGTATACACAACAGAGTTGTCTCTCGTGATTTCACACCCATCACAAAATATGCTAGCTTTGTAATTCCACAAAGATTGCAAATTCTTGATTTTGAACATACCATTTTTTTCAAATTACATTTTGACAAAGTCTCTATTACTTGTAAATCTATTATTCCCGTCAACGTCTGAATAATTTACAGATATAAGTCTTGACAAAGGAAGGTTAAATCTGGACACTAATCTTGTGCTATCAGAAAGCCCGTATAGTGTTAGTCAATTTGCACCATGATCAATGTAGTCTATGTATGGCCAACAATCTCTGTATTCATACGTCTCTGGCCAACCATAGTAGTTAGTATGTAATTATTACATAATCATAAATCACACCTTTAAACGAAAATGCCTGGTTATTACAGTATCTAAATATATATTCGTCATATCAAAGGAGCGTCCGAAGCAGATGTCGGCCGTTTTTAATAGCAATCATCGTCCCTGGGTACGTTTATCAAGATGTCGGAATAAAATTCGATCTTTCGACGTATATTTTTGATATTTCGTATAAACATACAGAAAAGTATCAACTACGTAATTTATCACCATATTTATTTATATTCCGGGAAAAACCCAAAGGTTATGCTACAGACACATGTCACATAGGCCTAGTAGCCACTGTTATGTGAACTCCAGCAAAACTAACATTAACGTTATGTAAACAAAACAAGAAATTAATGCTGTAGTTCTTGAGCGTGTCGATGTTGTCTAGCATAACGATAAAGATCTACTAAAATACGTAAGTATTTGGAGGTATTTTTACATGTTAAAACTACATTTTAAGTTGGGTCAGGAAAATGTTGCAAAGGAACTTCTTTGCACGTGAAAAACCATTTACATATAGCAAACTTCTCAATAAAGCAACCAATTACCTATATGAACAAGAGACAGAATTTAAGAATTTTCTTTTTTTCTCTCTCTTGTGTCATGATACCTGAATCACACATATTTACAGCAGTAACCTGTAGATATGCATTCTTGCTTATGTTTACGATGTTAGGAAAATCATTTTTATGCGTGTTAAATACATATTCCTAGATCTAATTGAATCGTGGGTGAAAATCTTTTCCTTTGCCGTATCTCATAGTAGGTTGGCTAACTGTGAATGTGTCGACGATAGATTATTGGAAATAAAAAACACAATGATTGGTCGTATGCTGCAAACATAACAGACTTGGATTTGACGGGAAAATTAGTCGTAATCTTCCTGATTTTAATTTCTTTTTATTCCTTTTGTCTAGAGCTGTTCGGACATCCTCTGCCGAACAATGTAAGAGAAAAGAGTAATCGCCCCTGGAAAGTTAGCGATCACTTCCGTATGAAAAATTTAGGAAATAGGCCTTACCGCTTCCTATTGACACAGACATCAATCGACTGTGCGACCTGTCAATTCAATTACAAATAGGTCTATAGGGCCTATAGCCCTATTTGTAATTGAATTGACAGGCATCAATCGACTGTGCGACCTGTCAATTCAAATTCAAATAGGTCTATAGGGCCTATAGACCTATTTGTAATTGAATTGACAGGTCGCACAGTCGATTGATGTCTGTGTCAATAGGAAGCGGTGTGGCATTAAGAAAGAGAAATATATAGGGGTCGACCAAACTGAGCGGGATTTTTTGGCAGAAGAAACTGAAAGTATGTTTTTGAGTGTTTTTGTTGCTCTTTCCAGTCTTTGCTTTCGCGTACTTCTTCTTCCAATAATCATTATTTGCATACCATCTCTGGTGTATTTTCGCAGCGTTGGACGTGACGGTGTGTAGGCTACAGTGCAATTTACTTATATAGACTTGCTAAGTCACTTAGTATACGACTACACTATACAGGGGCGTTTCTAGGATATTTAAAAGAGAAATGAAATCTTGGACCTTTTTTTTGCTTAAAAACTACGGATCACCCATCGGTTGGGGGAATCAGTATAAAAAGAAATCAGAGTATGTGTTTAATTAATGAATATGATAAATTGCCATATTCAATACAATATTAGCAGATTACGATAGGTTTTTTTTGTTGTTGTTTTTTTAAAGGGGGGGGGGTACGCCCAACGCCCATTACGCCCTCACCTGGACCCGCCCCTGCTATATTCCAACCATATTGAAAGAACTTCGATCACTTTTGGTCCAAGTGTAAACTTTTACCTGGGTCTGATGTGTAAGAAAATCTGTTTGTTTTTGGCAGAAAAGTGACCTTCTTTTACAATTTTGTTTTGCACATGTGTAGCGGTACTGGACTGGGTCGATAGTCGGCAACCAGATAACTTAATTGGTTGAGAGTCCGTCTAAAAGACTTTTGGAAGGTCCCGGGTTTGAACCCCATTCTGGACATGCATTTTTCCTCTCCTGTCACATTTGGCGCCCAACAAAATAAACCCACAGAAGGTGGTATAGGGTCTCCTGTGTCTTTGGGGTCAAAGACTTTGTTAAAGGAGAGAGGAATATAGTGGAACTGGACTTGGTCGAATGTCGGCGACCGGATAGCTCAATTGGTAGAGCATCTGGCTATAGAGTTTGGAGGGTCCCGGGTTTGAACCCCGGTCTGGCCGTGCATTTTTCCTCTCCTGTTACACATGAATACAGTAGCCTTCCTTTAGTATAACAAATTAAATGATAAAAGAATGACTGTATATTTATTGTACTCCTGAAGTATCCTTGAAGTCCCTTCAACAAGAAAACTAACAACATGTATTTACTTTGTACATATCACAACTTATCATGAAGCTAACAAGGCTGAGTGAGAACCTGTTTTCAATAGTATAAAGGTAAAATTATACATGTGTTTAGTCTGCTTTGTTAGCTTTGTGCTTAGTTATATGATATATCCAATTGAAATACATTTCATCATTCTGGGCCCTTGAAGCATATCATTATGAAGCATGTAATGTACAGTTGTCTCGATAACAGTCACTACATCATTACTTCAGGAGTACATGTACAGCCTACAGGTAGATACTTCATTAATTGTAATTTTCAAGGCTGTGTTTTTGCAAAAATCTTGTGTTCAAATGTCATTTTGCAGACAAAAACAGCCATTTTTCAACTGTTTAACCAATGGTCATATTTAAAATTGTTCTTTATTACTGACATACTTCCACCATTCTATATATTCTGTATGTGCATAGATGGAATACCTTCATTGTTATTTATTAAGATCTAAAGAGTTCAAAAAAGCTAACATGGAATGTTTTATTACAGGTAGCATGTCCTATTTAACCAGTAAAGGGGTGTGACATGCCTGTTAGCAGTCTGTATGTATAGGTGAACCTACATAGGGCAGCCTGTGGAGAGACACATTTAAAAGAAAGTTGTCAACATCTGAACGCGAGTATCAACACTGAAGGTAAAAACCAATGGACCATATATAAACACCTGCTTTAAAAGTTCACCACACTCAGCCAAGGTCTACCATCCCAGCCTACGTCACCTTTACACCTGACTAAATAACAAACACTCTGTTGCTCATTTAAATATAGACAAGTCGGGCATGTGTAGGAAATTTGAGTGTTTATAACTAACTTTTACTCTGCCGAACTCAGGTAAGTGTGTTTTTGTGACATACATGTATACAGTAGAATCAAGTTAATAATGCATAATATACGCTATAACGCTTATATGTGTAATCTTCTACATATACTGTTGAGGTGGCAAAACAAGTTACAGATATATAATAAACACTGGTTTCCTGTGATATGGAGTCACTTCTGTTAGAGAAATCCATGCTTATAATTCTATGCCACTGTAGACTGAGGAACTGGTCCGATCACCAGTGATCAGGTAGAAGCTGGACTGGTCAGATTGTCCCTCCACAGTTCAGAGGTCCTGAATTTGATACCTGGTCTGGCTGTACATTTGACCTCTCCTGTTACACTATGGGTGATTCTCATTAACTCATTCACCCCTGAAGACACAACTGAACTCCCCCAATTCAAAGGTTGGAATAATTCATGATGAAATTTCAGGGGTGAATGAGTTGATAGGCTAAAGAAAATTGTCCCTTTGAATTTCTTTGCTTGCACTTTGAGATTCCATAATTACATGCATTGCATTTGTTTAATGTTTGATTAGGACAAAGAACGAGTTATTTATGGTATGGTATATTTTATGTTTGTGACAATTGACCATACAAGTTATTGACATATAGGGTAAAAGCAAAGTTGACCAAACAGTCATTTTATGGGCATACTTCAGCAAAAATTGATGGTGCATTAAAAAAATGAAGTATTGCTTATCTCATGGTTATTAAGTGACTAAAGTGTATACTTTTGGATGAAGCAAGATAAGGTTTGCCAAATACTGTAGTGATCAGAAATCTTATAGCATACAAGGCTGTTACACAAGGTGATTTTATGACCGATAATGACTTGATTACCATCTAAAATAATGGTTATGTTTTCCACTCTTTTATATAAATTCCTCAAAAATAAAACAGCAAATTTTAAAAACCGTCATGAACAATTGTTATCTGTTCGTATACGTATCACAGCTACATGCAAGGGTTGTGTTGGTATTGATAATAGGCATGGGCCAAATTTAACTCTGAATCTTACGCCTTTCTTTCATCCTTTTTGAAACTACAGTTGAAATGCAGGGACTTTTAATCAATTCATATTGATGGTTTGAAAGTTGATCATGAGGTCGCCGCATCCATGGTTACAGAAGATGCCACTATTGGATGCTGGCTACTTAATGTTGCATCAATATTTTCTGCGGTCCAAGCCCATGCCATCTATATCGTCCTTGAGCACATTAAACCAAATGATGTACCAAAGTCAATCATATTATCCGATTCCCTATCTGTTCTACAGAGATTTTGCAATAAACTTTGACAAATATCTCAATTAGTCAAATATTTACATTCTGTACATTACTACATAGCATTACCTCAAAATATCATATCACAATATGCTTGGTTCCCAGACATGTAGGAATACCAGGTAATGAAAAGGCAGATCACGCCGCCAAAGTGGCTTTGATATTACCACCTGTTGAGTTTAAACTTCATTTTACTGATTTTAAACCATTGATAACAAAATCTGTGAAGTCAAAGTGGCAAAATAAATTTGGAATAAATTTGTAGACAACAAATTACACTCCGTAAAACCAAAACTGAATGGTATCCCAATTACAAAGCTATAGAGAGAACTGTTGAGACCAGGTTGTCCTTGCCCATCTCTGTATAGGTCATTCATACATTACATATTCTTCTTTATTGAAATGCGAAGACCAGACTCGGTGCATAGCAGTCAGGGACTGCTACTGTATATTCAGCTTAAGTGTTGAAATGTCTTATTTATGATTTCTTGTTTAAGTCTAATGATAAAATGTGTGAACTCAGATTCGTTGTTTAAGTTTTAGTAATACAAGTCTAACAATATCTGATCTCTAAGTTTGAGTGAGACATTAGTCTGAACTAAAGCAAAACTGCTGCCACATGTATACAAATGACAAATACATAAATCCTTTCCAACTGATCATTTTCAGTGATAGCATTTGCCGTTTCAAAAACGGGGTCCGAAACAAGTGAACAGTTTGGATATGCAATGGAACACGATAAAAAGCCCTGGGGGGAAAGGGGTTCGCCTTGCTACTTTTTTTTGCATTTTTTGGTACAAAAACAGATTTAATGCGAACACTGACATTGTGTATCTGGTCTCATATATTATCAATACTTCAAATCTAACCAAAAAGCTTTGCCATATTAACTTAGAGTGTTAACATTTTGTATGTGATTGATCTGTGCCAAAAGGTGTTGGGTATATGATGGTCATTTATATTGTCTGGACCAGGAAGCAGTGTCGCCAGAAAGTCAACTTATCACAAGGACATAAACACATTACAGGATTGCCTTATTATCCATTACACCATTTTCTGTGGTATAGGATGCTTTGACTTTCCCAGAGGGTGGCAGCACTTTGTAGTCTGGCCGATCACTTCATGTGATGGGGATGGGTCCTTTTAACTAGCGCCCATCAATCAGAACGTCTGATGGACTCAAACTCAGATTCCTCAGATTTTATGTACAATGCTCTATTACTATGGATACTGACAATTTTCCCTGAAACACAAGCATTGCAATTTTGTTAGGCAAACACAGTAAATAAATTGCTTGTTTTGGATACAATATATGGCCGGAGACCAAGTCCTGGAACTAGTAGGATTGGCCTGTGTCGTCTTTAAGTGTAGACTCCACCGTTATATATCTGGCAGCTACAATCAATTGTAGGAGACATTGGCTTTATTTAGAAATCATTGTTTGGCATTCTCACGATCGACTACCAGCCTCAGTAACTACTGTAACTGCCAAACATCCTCCTGGAAGGAGTTGACCTTTGGGTTGGCTTTCTATTGGTAGGTCAATAACTAAATTGTGGCTATGTATAGACACTAGTTTCTACCCCTGTCTGGTCTGGTACAGTGAGATGGATGGGCAGGATATGGCCAGCACTGGAAATTTATGGTAGCATGGTTTAAAAACATCAGTCTTGTTTTAGAAAGCCAGAAAAACAGAAATTGATTCTTTGTAAAAAGTGCAATACTGCTTCACAATCATGATAAAAGATAGTACCATGAACTTAAAACAAATCTCTATTTATAGAGCTTAAATTATAAGTTTATTTAAAATTGATTTTATTTGTCGCCCATGGTTACTGCTGGAAGAGACAAATGTAATTGTACTTTGTCCGTCTCTCTGTTACAATACTTAATGCCTTAATTGTTTAAAAAAAAAAATCCAGTTTTGTGTGTTGAAAGTACTGGAGGTTCATACCAATGCGTCAATTTGAAGGAATATGCAAAGTAAAATAGACCTATAGATATAGTTGCCCATTTCAGAGCAAAAGTAACGTACCACAGACGGTAGGGTTTTGTATTAATATATTAATGAAATTACTAATCTTGAAACATTTTCATTTTCATTTTCATTTTTCATGAAATGAAGATGAGAAACAGGAGGGGAAAAATGCATGACCAGACCAGGATTCACACTCGAGACCTCCGAACTATACACAAATGCTGATCAGTTAAGCACTTGGTCGCTGATAAACCATCTAGTCCAGCCCCGCCACAGTTTTGCCCCCTCCCCCCTTTACAATCTAGGTTTTGGTATCCCCTTTTACACATCTAGGTTTTAGTATCCCCTTTTACAATCAAGGTTTTGGTATCCCCTTTTACAATCTAGGTTTTGGTATCCATTTGCCAGTATTTCAAACAAACAAGCAGTGGTCCAAAATGCACGGCCAGACAGAGATTTGAACCTTGAACTTTGAAGTGTTTATGTAATACGTTAAACAAAGGCATGGAGCAATGATAGAAAGCATGTATGTCAGCTCTCTTACTATCAAGTTTGTTTAAAATCTTTACCTTGACCCATCTTGAAGGTCACGAGTGTGAGATGTGTTTGCCAACAACTCTGAATAACAAGTAAATAATACAGGCCCATTTGGCCTCTTTTTGTATTCAGTCAAGCAGAACTTTATATAATCACCAAGAAATTCAACACAATAACGTCTGAGCTGTATTAAGTCACATGCAGTGATATCTCTACCTAAGAAAGTTTTCTGACAATGAATAAATTACAGAGATTAGACTTCGATGTATTATCATAAACATATAGCCACAATACCAGGGACAGGTAGGTACCGTGGGTCCCTCTACTGGGTAAGGTTTTATCATATACCATTATTTACACTTTTTACTTTTAAAATTTTATTCATACTTTTTTCATAATGAGCTTGCTCATTGAAGAACATAATGGTTAAAGTAAGTAAACTTTCATGATATGTAGTAAATGTTTGTGTTGTAGAATACGTATTTTATGCCTACACAATCATTGATACCTGTCAAATTTTTGATAATTACTCTGGCACATTGGCAAATTCTAGCTTAGAAAGCTGCAATTAATTTCTTTTGTTTTACCACTAATTATAAATCAGAATTAAATTAAACTTTAATCAATTTTACATCACATGTGAAAGAGGTTCTGTCAAATTATGTACATGTAGGAGGTCTGAGTGTGGGAGGTAACAGGAGTGCCTAGATAATTTATCATATACCAGACAAATTGTTTAAAATCCATTTAAACTGAATGAATTGTACATGTGAACATCATTTAGCAGTAAACGGTTAGAGGTTACAGACGTTCATATTTTGTTAAGTTGCACTCAAGCTGAAAGTCATTCAATTAAACTTCTAATTCATTCAAGTTTGATTTTCCAATCTGATTGGTTCATCTTCATTGAACTTCATAAAGATAAAGAAGTTGGAAAGAGAAAGAGACCTACTGGATATTTTTCAGGTCATATGGTATTTTAATTTACCTGAAGGTCATTTAAGGGCAATTATCTATTTAGTCTGATTGGATGATGGATTCTACTAAATAACTTTACTGATTAAACCTTTATAGAAAACTTCATAAAGAGGGACTACATTGTTTTTTTTGTTTTTTTAAGTACCTACACATAAAGTGTTGATTACATGTGCATAACTTCTATGATTTTTTTTTAGAAAATTAAATTCAAGAAATTAAGTGAAAACTCTCTGAAATTAATTCTATGGGGTAATACTAGATCTTTGCACATTTTCTTTTGGGTTCCTGCTCTCCTTTGACCTCACAGAGGAAAAGTTGTCTTGATTTAAGATGATCATTGAGACTAAAGAAGGACAGAAGCACCAAGTTATTGTTTCTGCAAACTTAATTATTTTAAAGAATTTGTTAAAATATGTTTCCTTTTGAGACTTTTGTTTAAAAATCTTCTCTAAATTATCTAAATTAATTTCATACATTGTATGAGATGCTAAATTTTGTTACTAAATGACCAGGTTTTAAAATTAGTTGGAATAAATAAATTAATATTGAATATTTAATAAATAGAGCACTATATATGGTATAAGTTTTATGTACTAGGTAGAAAGAGTGAGAATGTAGAAGTTGTTACAGTATCTTAAAGATGTCAAAAACTGGCTACCCTGCAGATGTGTCTCCCATTCAAATAGTCTTCTTTCAGAGTGTTATGACTAAAAATCTTTCACATTACAATAAAATAATCAGATTTCTGTTGATCAACTCCATATTCTAATCAAAGAGGTACGGTAGATAAAAGGTAAGCATAGCTATATTACCCCTATAAAGCCTTCACCCTACCAAAGTTATTCTGTGTTTCTCGGTGATGACTATAGCTAGCTGTATTTTACATAAAGTAGGTGCTAATACCAACTGTACAATGAGATTTTTCTGGGGAGGAAAAATAATTTGAAATTGTCATCTTATGAACTGAAATATTGGTATTTGTCTAGAAACAAATAAGAAAATAATCCTTTTTTTTATCAAATATAAAGGATTGTCATCTATGATTAACAAAGCAAAAGTTTATCATTGCATCCAATGCTAATCCATAAATATCATTTATAACAAAATCACAATAAAGTCCTATCTATTGTGACGAAGGAATCAGCGATTTACCGTTGGTTTGATATTATGTAATAATGTCACTATAACATATTTTGATAATAGGTATCAGTGATTTAAAATTGTTATTATAGAATGATGTCACAATAAAGTATGTGATAATAGGTATCAGTGATTTATAATTATTATTACATAATGATGTTACAATTAAGTATTGTGATAATAGGTATCAGTGATTTATAATTGTCTTTACATAATGATGTCACAATAAAGTATTGTGATAATAGGTATCCGTGATTTATAATTGTTATTACATAATGATGTCACAATAAAGTATTGTGATAATAGGTATCAGTGAATTATAATTATTATTACATAATGATGTCACAATAAAGTATGTGATAATAGGGATCAGTGATTTATAATTATTATTACATAATGATGTCACAGTAAAGTATTGTGATAATAGGTATCAGTGATTTATAATTGTTATTACATAATGATGTCACAATAAAGCATTGTGATAATAGGTATCAGTGATTTATAATTATTATTACATAATGATGTTACAATTAAGTATTGTGATAATAGGTATCAGTGATTTATAATTGTCTTTACATAATCATGTCACAATAAAGTATTGTGATAATAGGTATCAGTGATTTATAATTAATATTACATAATGATCTCACAATAAAGTGTTGTGATAATAGGTATCAGTGATTTATAATTGTCTTTACATAATGATGTCACAATAAAGTATTGTGATAATAGGTATCAGTGATTTATAATTATTATTACATAATGATGTCACAATAAAGTGTTGTGATAATAGGTAGCAGTGATTTATAATTATTATTACATAATGATGTCACCATAAAGTATGTGATAATAGGTGTCAGTGATTTATAATTGTTATTACATAATGATGTCACAATAAAGTATTGTGATAATAGGTATCAGTGATTTATAATTGTCTTTACATAATGATGTCACAATAAAGTATTGTGATAATAGGTATCGGTGAATTATAATTACTATTACATAATGATGTCACAATAAAGTGTTGTGATAATAGGTATCAGTGATTTTTAATTATTATTACATAATGATGTCACAATAAAGTATGTGATAATAGGTATCAGTGATTTATAATTATTATTACATAATGATGTCACAATAAAGTATTGTGATAATAGGTATCAGTGATTTATAATTGCTACTACATAATGATGTCACAATAAAGTGTTGTGATAATAGGTATCAGTGATTTATAATTATCATTACATAATGATGTCACAATAAAGTATTGTGATAATAGGTATCAGTGATTTATAATTATTATTACATAATGATGTCACAATAAAGTATTGTGATAAGAGGTATCAGTGATTTATAATAGTTATTACATAATGATGTCACAATAAAGCATTGTGATAATAGGTATCAGTGATTTAAAATTGTTATTACATAATGATGTCACAATAAAGTATTGTGTGATGTAGGAGTCAGCGATTGAGTTTATAATTTTCTGCAGTCACTTAAATGCTGCTGAGACCCTGATTTGTCAATTTAAAGTGAAAAATATTCAAAGCGAAGACTAAATACAAACTTCATTTTTCGCTGTACATATGTATCTACTTACTTTATATGTTAAAACTAGAGATTTTCTTAAAACAGATATACATATTAATTCAGCATATTAACACATACATGTAGGAGGAATAATCAGCCACCAAATATTTGTTAAGGATTTTTCCCTGGATGTACTACATGTATGTTAACGTTGTCCAGTATCATGTACTCTGGCCTGATCTACACTATGGGCCGAGAGTTTATCATTTTGACAAACATTCTGCATAACTTGGACATAATTCTACATGTTGTTAACAAACATATCTTTCAATAGAACATGATGATTTTTAGATTATTCTTGTTTTGTTTCTATTTGTAAAGTATCAAAAGAATTAAATCAGCACCTTTACCTAATAAACCCAGTATGTGGGGGAATTAATATAAAATACCAAATTTGGTGGATCGCATAAATCACTCCTACACCTTTTGTGACTGTTTTACGTAGTTAGATAAATTAACATATTACAGAGGGCTCCTATATCACCATGGTTACCACAGAATTTCACAATACTTTATTCCCATCAATCTGATCATTATTACTCTTAGGCTATATAAAGAAACGTATTCTTCAAAATTTTCCAAAAGATTTTGCCTTTGCTGCTATTTAAAGAGAAAAGCATATTTAATTGATGTCAGGTAGGAATTTGGTATGTTTAAGAATCTCGGAGGAAGGGTGTCTCAGCCACTAACCTTAGAACTGTAGTGGGCCTATCAGCATCTGTATCTGAATGTGTAGTTAATTCTTCTCTATCCCGGGGATGTATTGATCTTATACTTGTTAAGGAGGAGAATTGGCAACAACACCACACTTCCTATACAAATCGCTATCTTCATAAAATATTCATTCTTGTATTATCACCTTGTTTAAGTCTGGTGTGAAATAGGAATTGATTTCACACGTTTAATAATTTATCTAGGAACAGATTAAGATTTGTATAATAAAGGAGAAGTAAATACATGACTTTCATCGTCAGTTATAGACTCTGACCCCCGATGTCCCATGCATATGTTTGTGTAAGCCCTCGTACATCCAAAGTTAAAATTAAATTTTGTCCTCCAAAAATGTTCTGGACAAACGATGCTGAACCTACAATGACGCAAATTGTGCTGAGTGTCTATTGTAAAATTATTTAAAAGGTACACAATAATCGTCATTTTCACCATTAAAGCTATCAATCAGAAATTGATCAATGTCTCTAAGCAAGGCAGTATTGATCTCCCAGGCGAGAGCGTAGGAGACCACGCTGAGCTGATCGTTTGGTTCTCATCCATCGGGGAAAAATGTTTTAAAAACAGTCAGATGATAATAAGGGAAATTGGTTATTTCATGATATCCTGATTCTTAAATGTGACAACTGATTTGATGTGTTGTATGGGTATACAGGTGTATGATACACCACATCTTTGGACAATGGTTTCAGAGTTAGCCTACAGGACTGGAATCAATGTGGGCAAGTGGATGGATCGTTAAAGACACCCAGACTTGCTGTGGATTTTACGGTGCAGGGACTCGGAAGTACTCGGAAGGTCCGTGCAGTACAGTACAGGTTTATACAAGGTAACTATACATTGTTTCATCTGTTCTTGTGAATAATCAGATTGATAGTTTTTTCGAAGCTGCTTGTTGAAAGAGCTTGGAAAAACACTCTTATTTTTTACTTGTGTATAATTATGTAGTGATTGGAAGGGATAGACAATTTCTTTTATCAGATCTATCTCGTCAGAGGTATTTACCTAATCTCTGTCTGAGATAGCATCATTACCAGAACTAAATGTAGCTTTTATGTTGGTTAACACGAAACCTTTATTCAAACAGGACTTTTAAATTTGTTCGCTGAATTGTCAGTTCATTCACAATAGGTCAAATGTCAAAGGTCAAGTTCACAAAAATGTCAGATACACTTAATGGATGATGTGATATATATATATGTTGCAAAACTACATGTGTTTTCAGTTAAATTATGTCTTTTTTCCTGTTTTGTCTTGAGAATGAAAAGCAATACTTCACCTGTGAAGAAGAAAAAGGACCAATGTTGCACATTGCAATACTTTAATATCGTTCTTTTGTTTATTAAATTTATTTTGTGAAAATACTGTCAAAGATAAATTATTTCTTATACTTGTAAAATTTGAATAATTACCTGGTTAGTTCAATTCCAGTAGAAATGTAGAATACATTGCTTATAGATTGTTAGTAGGAGGTTTGATATCAGTACAGGTACAAGATATGTATCGCTATTATTGCTCATATCAAATGAAAAAATAACTAAATGGGTCTAAACTATCTATCCTTTGCATAACAAATAGTCAGCTACTCGCCATCCAAGTTCTTAAAATGATATGCAAAGCACAAACCCATTCCTTCCTTGTGTATTCCATCCTCTCCTCCGTCCCCTTCTCTGTCTTCCACCACTCCCTCTTTCCTGTCTTTTTCCCTCCGTCCCCTTCTCTGTCTTCCACCACTCCTTCTTTCCTGTCTTTTACCCTCCGTCCCCTTCTCTGTCTTCCTCCACTCCCTCTTTCCTGTCTTTTACCCTCCATCCCCTTCTATGTCTTCCACCACTCGCTCTTTCCTGTCTTTTACCCTCCGTCCCCTTCTCTGTCTTCCTCCACTCCCTCTTTCCTGTCTTTTACCCTCCATCCCTTCATTGTCTTCTACCCTTCTCCTCCACCCACGGTCTTCCAACTACAATCCCCTTCCCTGCCTTCATCCCGGTCTCCTCTTTCATCTGTTTTCAATATCTTTCCCATCTCTCTGTCACTGAACCCACACCCCTTCATTCCCCAACACACTTTTCTCCCCTTTCTTCTGTCTTCCATCCTTTTCCGACTATTTTCTTTCGCTATCACACTTTCTTTCATCCCTCTTCCATTCCCTCTGTCTTTTTTAACCCCTCCCTCACATTTTTCTGTCTTCCATCCGTCTTTTGTTCCTTCCTTCTTTCACTCCTTCCTTTCCCTGTCTTCCATAACCCCATCCTTTTCCCACTGTATTCAATCAATCCTCTTTCCTCAGTCTTTTATCCCTCCTCCTTCTTTCTTCTGTCTCCTATCCTTCTTCCCTTTGTCTTCAATCTTTTCCCTGTCCTCGACCCTTATCCCTCCCTGTCTTCCGCTACCGCCTTCCCTCCCCTCTTGTCTTTCATCCACTTTCACATTTTTTTGTCTTTCAGTTCTCTTTCCTTGGCTTCCATCTGTCTTTCATCCCTTCCTCCCTTTCACTATCATTCACTCCTCTCTTTCACTATATATTCCATTAATTCCCCCTTCCTTCCGTCTTTCCTCCTTCCCTCTTCCCTTTTCCTGTCCTTCATCCCTCCCTATCCCCTTCATCTCCTTCCCTTCTTTTCCTCCCTTAGTCCCCTGCTCTCCCTGTCCCATCAATTACCCTCTTTTCTTCTTTTTACCACCTGTTCACTTGACACAGGCCTACTGTCTTAGACACATGCTAGCCTTACATCCTGACACAGGCCTGCTGTCTTACACCCAGACACAGGTCTAGCTTTTCATCTTGTAGCAGCCCTGCTGCCTTACACCCTGATACCACAATATTTTTACAGCCTGACAAACCCTAGCCTTACAGCCTGACACAGGCCTTACCTTATACCCTGACACAAGCCTAGCTTTACACCCTGACACAGGTCTAGTTTTACAGCCTGACACAAGCCTAGCCTTACACCCTGACACAAGCCTTACTCCCATGACACAAACCTAGCCTTACACCCTGACACATGCCTAGCCTTACACCCTGACACAGGCCTAGCCCTTACACCCTGTCACAGGCCTAGCCTTACACCCTGTCACAGCCCTAGCCTTTCACCCTAACACATACCTAGCCTTACACCCTGACACAAACCTAGCCACTAACCCTGACAAATCTAGCCACTAACCCTGAAACAGACTTGGCTTTACATCCTGACACAGACTTGGCCTTACATTCTGATACAGGCCTAAGCCTTACACCCTGCCACAGACATAGCCTTACACCCTGACACAGACCTAAGCTGTATACCCTGACACAGGCCTAGCTAGCCTACACCCTGCCACAGGCCTATCCTTACACCCTGACACAGGCCTAGCCTTACACCCTGACATAGGCATAAGCATTACAAATTGATACAGACCATAGCCTTACACCCTTACACAGACTTGGCCTTACATCCTGACACAGACTTGGCCTTACACCCTGCCACAGACATAGCCTTACACCCTGACACAGACCTTAGTTGTATACCCTGACACAGGCCTAGCTAGCCTACACCCTGCCACAGGCCTATCCTTACACCCTGACACAGGCCTAGCCTTACACCCTGACATAGGCATAAGCATTACAAATTGATACAGACCATAGCCTTACACCCTTACACAGACTTGGCCTTACATCCTGACACAGACTTGGCCTTACACCCTGCCACAGACATAGCCTTACACCCTGACACAGACCTTAGTTGTATACCCTGACACAGGCCTAGCTAGCCTACACCCTGCCACAGGCCTATCCTTACACCCTGACACAGGCCTAGCCTTACACCCTGACATAGGCATAAGCATTACAAATTGATACAGACCATAGCCTTACACCCTTACACAGACTTTGCCTTACATCCTGACACAGACTTGGCCTTACACCCTGCCACAGACATAGCCTTACACCCTGACACAGACCTAAGTTGTATACCCTGACACAGGCCTAGCTAGCCTACACCCTGCCACAGGCCTATCCTTACACCCTGACACAGGCCTAGCCTTACACCCTGACATAGGCATAAGCATTACAAATTGATACAGACCATAGCCTTACACCCTTACACAGACTTTGCCTTACATCCTGACACAGACTTGGCCTTACACCCTGCCACAGACATAGCCTTACACCCTGACACAGACCTAAGTTGTATACCCTGACACAGGCCTAGCTAGCCTACACCCTGCCACAGGCCTATCCTTACACCCTGACACAGGCCTAGCCTTACACCCTGACATAGGCATAAGCATTACAAATTGATACAGACCATAGCCTTACACCCTTACACAGACTTGGCCTTACATCCTGACACAGACTTGGCCTTACACCCTGCCACAGACATAGCCTTACACCCTGACACAGACCTTAGTTGTATACCCTGACACAGGCCTAGCTAGCCTACACCCTGCCACAGGCCTAGCCTTACACCCTGACACAGGCCTAGCCGTACACCCTGTTACAGGCCTAGCCTTACACCCTGACACAGGCCTAGCCGTACACCCTAACACAGTCCTAGCCTTACACCCTGTTACAGGCCTAGCCGTACACCCTGACACAGGCCTAGCCTTACACCCTGACACAGGTCTAGCCTTACACCCTGTTACAGGCCTAGCCTTACACCCTGACACAGGCCTAGCCGTACACCCTAACACAGTCCTAGCCTTACACCCTGTTACAGGCCTAGCCGTACACCCTGACACAGGCCTAGCCTTACACCCTGACACAGGTCTAGCCTTACACCCTGTTACAGGCCTAGCCTTACACCCTGACACAGGCCTAGCCATACACCCTAACACAGTCCTAGCCTTACACCCTGTTACAGGCCTAGCCGTACACCCTAACACAGCCCTAGCCATACACCCTGCCACAGGCCTAGCCTTACACCCTGACACAGGCCTAGCCTTACACCCTGACATAGGCATAAGCATTACAACTTGATACAGACCATAGCCGTACACCCTAACACAGGTCTAGGCATACACCCTGACACAGACTTGGCCTTACACCCTGCCACAGACATAGCCTTACACCCTGACACAGGTCTAGGCATACACCCTGACACAGACTTGGCCTTACACCCTGCCACAGACATAGCCTTACACCCTAACACAGGTCTAGGCATACACCCTGACACAGACTTGGCCTTACACCCTGCCACAGACATAGCCTTACACCCTGACACAGGTCTAGGCATACACCCTGACACAGACTTGGCCTTACACCCTGCCACAGACATAGCCTTACACCCTGACACAGGCCTAGCCATACACCCTGACACAGACTTGGCCTTACACCCTGACACAGGTCTAGCCGTACACCCTGACACAGGCCTAGCCATACACCCTGACACAGGCCTAGCCGTACACCCTGACACAGGCCTAGCCATACACCCTGACACAGGCCTAGCCTTACACCCTGCCACAGGCCTAGCCATACACCCTGACACAGGCCTAGCCTTACACCCTGACACAGGCCTTGCCATACACCCTAACACTGGCCTTGGCATACACCCTGACACAGGCCTAGCCGTACACCCTGACACAGGCCTAGCCTTTCACCCTGACACAGTCCTAGCCTTAACCCTGTTGCAGGCCTAGCCACACACCACCCTGACACGGGCTTGGCTTCCAACCTAGCTTTTACAACCTTAGCCTTACACCCAGTTGTAACCCAGTCTTACAGGCTGACACAACCATAACTGTTAACCCTTATTAACCATTGCCTGACACTTTGACGTACGCCTACTTTTATGCCCTAACTAAGGCCTACCAGTACAATTAACCTTTGACTTCAACCATGATATGACACCTGACGGAAATGATTGGTGTACCTTGAGTATAAGAGTGTGTTAATCCAGACACTAATGGTCAGTCCAGAAAGGCACAAAATTAAACCTTTCAGAAACAAAATCCTTCATTTTTCTGACAGATATCAGTATCTGGATGAACGCCAACATGCTTAAACTTAATCTGGAAAAGACGGAACTAATCGTCTTTTCCCCAAAGTGTCGGCAAACAATGGCTCTCCAGCTCAAGGTCGGTGCCAGAACTATTGAGACTGTTCCAGCTGTTAAAAACCTAGGGGTATACTTTGATAGTTCGCTCAACATGGAGAAACAAGTGAACGCTATTGCCAAATCCTGTTACTACCAGATCAGGAACATCGGCTGTATTCGGCAGTTTTTAACTGCAGATGCATGCAAGATTTTGGTGCATTCACTTGTTACCTCTCGGTTGGATTATGGTAACGCCCTGCTCTGTGGTATATCTGACAAACTAACTAGTCGTCTGCAGAGGGTCCAGAACACTGCAGCACGGCTAGTTACTCGTACTCGAAAGAGAGAGCACATCACACCTGTGCTCTATTCATTGCACTGGTTACCTGTACGATACAGGTCGCAGTACAAAATTCTGGTGTACACATACAAGGCACTGAATGGAACAGCTCCTCAGTACATACAGGAGCTTGTTATCCTGTATCAGCCGTCACGATCATTGCGGTCGGAGGCAGAATCTTTGTTGTGTGTCCCAAAATCTCGTACTGTGACCTACGGAAACAGATGCTTTGGAAGGGTTTCGGCTACGTTGTGGTATAGCTTACCATCTGCAATTAGAAAGTCCAATACCCTGGCCAAGTTCAAGAGGGACATCAAAACTCACCTCTTCACGTCTGCATTTTAGAATCTTTGCAAAGACGTTATGTAAATACCACCCTTTTATTTGTTCAATCATGTGCACATTGCTTGCTTAAATGTATAAAAGTGATTGTAAGCCTTTGTTTTTTTGTTTTCACAATTATAACCATTACTATTATCCATATGTTGTAAAGTGCTTTAGAGTAATTTTACAAATTATATAGGGCGCTATATAGATGTTGTATATTATTATTATTATTATTATTATTTATCAAGACATAAAATGTTTAAGCTCTATTTTTAGCCCACCATCATCTGATGGTAGGCTATTCAAATCACCCTGCGTTCGTGGTCCGTGGTCCGTGCGTGGTCCGTGGTCCGTGGTCCGTGCGTGGTCCTTGGTCCGTCCGTGGTCTGTCCTTAAACAATTCTTGTTATCCGTATTTCTCAAGAAGTACCAGAGGGATCTTTCTCAAATTTTATAGGTAGGTTTCCCTTGGTCCTAAGCTGTGCAGGGCAACTTTTGAGACTGATCGGATAAACAACATGGCCGACAGGCAGCCATCTTGGATTTTGATATTGAAAGTTTGTTATCGCTATTTCTCAA